TGGGAGCTTTGAGGATGATGTATGTGACGAAATCGCAGAGGAATGGACGGGGGACGGGGATGGTCAATTGGCATGGAGCGGAACATGGAGCAAGGAGCATGGAGTACGGAGCACACGCGTGGAGCAAGCTGGAGCCCCAGCAGGCATGTCGCTAGCGCCTCAGCACGTAAGGTAAGGCAAGGCCAGGCCAGGCCCAAGTCAGGTACCTTGCACACACGCTACAGAGTGCCTCTTTCAGTGAGGAGGGTGCTTGAAGAAAAAAAAGAAATCGCGGGAAAATGAGGTAATGATGTGGTGGGGTGACAGGCCTCGTGCATCTGTCTTCCAGAAAATCCCCCCAGCGCCGCACACACACACACGACTTTCCAGCTGGGTAGCCTGGTCCCCGGGCTTAGTAGGGGACTGCTGCAACTTGGCCACGACGTTGGTCTGAACATGCATGAGGAACTGTGGCCATCTGATCTGACCTGACTGACAGTTCATGATTCTGACAGTTCGCCGAGAACAGCCCAGCCGAGCCAAGGGCCAGGACCGGAAAACACTGATACTGCAGTGTCTTGGTACCTAGGTAGTTGCAGAACAAGACGGGGGAGAGAGCTGGCCTGCCAGAACCCGGAGCTGACGGTTAACCCCAGAGGAAAACTGCATCCCAATGGCTACTCTCAGCGCAACTTGCAGATGGAAATGCGGTTGCAGAGCTGCAAGTCTCTCGACTGGGGCAGCACGGAGCAACAAGCTGCGTGTTGGAATTGGGTCTTGGACAGCAGCACCCTCTACGCCTGACAAGCAACATATCGTCTCAACATCCCGCTATGGCTGGATGCAGCGAAGCAGTGCAGCAGCGTCAGGCAGGCAGGTAGGTAGCGTGACGTGAGGCGACGACAGCTGGCTGGACACCAGGTTCTTGGTCCTTGATCCTTGTCCTTGTCCTTGGGAGCTGCGGGGAACGTCCAATGTCAGGCTGCTGGGTCCAGTCGAGCAACCAGGTGCTTGGCCTTGGGTCCTCACTGAGGTGCCTGCCCACCAACAACGCCGTCTGCTGCGAGACCTCGTCATGCCCGCCAAAAACAACAGACAGGCACTGACACGGACCAGAACCCGCCCGCCGCAAGAGGAAACACGCTGGAAAAAACTCGGCGCCGGATTTCGACCACGCCCATCCAGCCTATTGGCCCGCTGGCTCAAGTTCGGCCCCTCCGCTGTCCCCAATTGGCTTTGCCGGCGGCGCTGGGTCCAGGTTTCTGGAGCTGGAGCGGGCGGCCACTGGACGCTGCATTTCCCTCGCGGTGCTTCTCGCGGGCTTTCACCGAGTCCCCTGCTTTCTCCAGTCTCCAGTCTGTAGGTGCAGCATCTCTCATCCCACACCTTCCCACGCTCGCGGCTCTTCTTCCCAAGCTCGGAAAGTCGCCTGAAGCACAAGAAGGAGGAGGGGGAGAGGACCCCCGGGGGAGGACCCCAAAAAGCTGGAGCCCCCGTGATATGCACCGAGAAAAAGTCGGGCAACGTCGATGGGCGAACAACTCATCCGTTCCCCAATCATTTGTGATGATTTGCTGGTACGATGCGGGAGAGAGAGGCAACTCCAGGCACTTGCACGCCTTCCGTGGGAACCACGACACGCGAAACCACCCCGGCTCCACGGTCCCACTTCTGCGCCGAAGAAGCTCCCGTCCAACATCCACCGGGCGGGCCACCGAACATGCCGGAAATGGAGAGACGCCACTGACGAGAGGGAGAAATAGGGACACCAATTCGAATGGCAGCCACAGAAGGAAAACCCCCAATCAATAAAACGAAAAATACAGACTGGGCGCGTGCTCAGGGTGATGTGGGTAGTGGATTCAGGATGACGGGTGATTTTTTGGGACGGGGGGATGAGAATGGATCATGGAGAAAATGTGATAGAACTGGCTGTCCAAACAGAAGGAAATACGGCGACCGCAGGCCGGGTACTTACAAGAACAAGCACTAATAACACGACCGAGCAAAGGCCGTACCAAAACGAGGAGACCCCATGGGAGACCAGGAAGCTGCTCCTCCTTCTCCGGTGCCCAGGTCCTGGAGTCTTCCTCGGTAACGTTGTTGCTGTTGCTGCTGTTGGCTGCCGCTCACTGCCGCTGCCGCCGTTGATCTCGTCCAAGCCGCCGTTGCCGAGCGTCAACACCACCTCCTCCGTGTCGTGATATGCGCCGACGACGCCGTCGTCAAAGTCATTAACGTAGTCCATGTCCTCCACTGCTACCTCGGACATCCTGTCATACTGCATTTGCATGTAGCTGCTGTTTTCCTTGGTCTCGCGAGATACGGTCCTGATGATGGGCCGGGTCTGCTGCCAAGGCCACCCGAGCGCCTGCTGTTCGGCGCTTCCCTCCCGGATGAAGCCCGACAACAAGGCCGGTGTCTGGTCTGAGTGAGATAGCGGGTGTTCCAGATGCAGGTCTCGAAGCGGGCGCGGCGCGAGACTGCCGCCTTTGCGGTGTTTTCTTTTTTCCCTCTAGACTTTCGGGACGGAACGACGGCTAAATGTCCGGCGTTCTCTCCTATCGGCGAGAGATAAAGACGTCCCGGCGCACGAGGGGATGTTCTAGACTCTCGCAGCTACGGGCTGCGTGCAACCTGCGAGATGCGGATGGAGATGCAGACGGGCGCAATCGCAGCAGAAGCAGCAGTTACAATACGGTGACTGCAGCGAAGCGACGCTGACGATAATCGCGCCGCCGCTTTGCCTCACGCGCACACACACCACCTAGCTGCAGCCTACAACGGCTGCTGGGCAGCAGATTGCAGCACTGGTGAGGTGAGGCTGGCGATTTCCGTCCGGTAGTAGTGCGCAGTCCCAGTTTCGGCCCTTTGGAGGAGACAGCACGCGTTTAAACGGCCCGTCTGTAATTAGTTTCCCGGGTGTGACGCTGCGGATAGACGACGAGGACCCAGGTTTGCTCCCCCCAATGAGGTCATGAATGGGAATATCCCGGGGGTGGAAAGCCGCCGATGGGGGGAACTGGACTGGAGCAAGGGCTTTCTTTCGCTGGCCGCGCCAAAAATTCCTCGCTCAAAATCCCAAAAACTCTGCTGTCCTCGTGCAAGTCGCAGTCGGGCGACGGCGGGCCTCTCTTGGTTTCTGGTCTCTCTCGTTGGTTGGATTGGTGACTGGAATAATATGCCGTTGTAATAAAATAAAGAATTATGGGATTATGCGGATGGGGAATAACAAGGTGAGAACAGCGAGCAGGTGAAAAGGGATGGCTGCTGGGCGCTGGTTCGTTTCGTTTGCGATTTTTGCTTCGTTCAATTGCTCGTGATGATTCGTGCAGTCGTCCAACAAAGCGACAGTTCAAAAAGTCAGGGTTCCTCCCTCAAGTCTGGGTTTCGGGGTGTGCTGTTGCGTGGTTTCTCGTTGATGGTTTCTGGGTTCAGGCAGATCTGGCCGGTCAATGAATTGGTCGGGAATCTCGCTGCACCTGGTGTCGAGATAACCGTCGAGTCGTGCGCCTTGGTTGGGTGGCTTGATCTTGGTATTAATAAACTCGCTCCTGCCTGTCGTCCCGCTGTAGGATTGCGTCCTTTCTTCACTCCGTCTCGTCTCCTCCTTTTTTTTACTCTGCGAATTTCCCCTCAGCCTTTAGCGCGCCTGCAGTTGGATGTCATGCGACCACCGATAAAAACGGCTGCTGCAGTGGCTGGTTGGTAGGTTATCGTTTGAGGAAGTTGGCAGGTGCGTAGCGCGCTTTTCTCGCTGGTGCAGAATCTCCCCTTGTCGAAGTCCAGTCCCACGTCAGAGAACTCGCAGAATCTTGGTTGAAAAGAGAGCTCCAAGGTCTTCGCCAATATCCTGGTTTTCACGTTTGTTTGGCAAAAGTGGTTGTGAAAGGGGGAGACGCAGTCGAATGGGAATCCCTTATCGCCGGTTGGCCGCCGGATGGTTACACCAAAATGATTTGGGCCAGGCGCGCAATCCGATGCTCGTGTGATAAGTCCACCACTTCTCTCTCGCTCAACGTCAATTTTGAAAAAGCAAGGGCGAAGTTGAGGAAAATTGTCGATTGGTAAAGAATGAGATGAAAGACGGGAGACACAACCCGATTGACGCTCAGTAATCAGAGACAAGTGAATAAAGAGCAGCGACGGGAGAGGCTGGCAGTTGATCCTTCTCTCTGCTAAAACCAACGGCCTTTTCCTTCCCCCTCTTCTCGTCCCTCCAATGCGACTTCTGCATTAAACAGTCCCCTTGGACGGTGGAGGGTGAATTTTGAGTTGGCCACTCAAATCGCTGCTCAGTCGAACCGGTTCGCAAGGGGGTCCGCAAAACAAGTGCGGTGTGGACTGCAAGAGCCGGGGTTGACGACTGCAAATCGAAGGATCTTAAATGCACCTCACTACGAATGGCACGCCGCCACGCGAGGAGCGCTCACTCGAAATGTCAATCGCTGCTGTGCACTGTTCGAGGCCTTCAGAGAGTTGGAGGGGGGAAACTTGAGGTGGACACATCGCAAAAAAGAAGCACACGATACTTGTAGTACACGGCACGCGGCAGCCAAATGCCCCGAAAGGGGAAGGAAGCTGGAGCTGATGAAACGGAAACCCAACCCCAACGAGAGCAGGCCCCTGCGCTGAACTCGGTCACTCAACCCCACGACCTCGTTCCCCGGCCTTTGGTTGGCGGCATCGTCACATATCCTGGTCGTCAATATCTCCTTTTGCTGGGGGAGCCTCGCTTCACCTTCAACATGGCTCCAACAGGCCAGATTGCTTCCATTGGATGCTCTTCCAGAAATTTCCAGTCTACGAAGGATGTCTGACCGTGATTAAAGCCACATGTCAATGTTCATGCCAATCATACATCGCTCTCCACAGTACCCGTATCTGATGCAAATGCCATGCCTTGAATAGTCCCTCTCCCATGCTGAATGAACATTTCATAAACTTGTCCATACGCCCAAAACACCCTCCAATCAGATGCACCTTGCCGTTGCGTAATATCACCCTGAGCGACAAGGCGTTTAGGCAAGGAAGCTCCTCTTGATGATAAAGAAGGATGCCAACAGCAACGCCGCGCAGGTGATGAAGACCATGTTGCGATGACCGTCGCCTGTACATAAAGTCAGCATGCACGTTGAGTGTTCCTCTCGGAAGGGACGACTTACCCTCTTCGTCAAGACTGTGCGCCACGACGACAAACACGTTGAGAGGTAGTCTCAGAAGACTGTACACACGCCCGCGAGTACTGTCCTCCACAACTTCGCTCTTCAAGAACGACATGCTTGGGAAGTAGGCTCCAATGCATGCCTCGATCATGCAGAGAGCCCAGAACAGCAACTGCTCCTGTTCCAGCAAGATGGCTCCTGACAAGCAACCGCTGACGGTGAGGACCGCAATCATCAGGATAAGGGATGTTGTCTCCTTCGTGTGCGTCTTGGTGTAGAGGGAGAAGAACGCAGACCCGGCCATCATGGAGCACATGAAACTCGAAAAGATGAGACCGAAGGGCAGTTCTTCCGTTGAACCAGCCTTGGTTCTGGCGCTCTTCAGCGCTGCGGACCAGAAGAAAACGAAGAGGTACATCGAACCCTCGAAGAAGGTCAATGTAAGACCCAAGGCCACGACGCGTGCATTGGCCAAGATTGACTGAATTCCACTCTTGACATCGGCCAGAGAACTTGACTGGCTATTCTGCAGGCCTCCGTAATTCTCCTTCCATGACTTGAGAATGAGCATGATGGCCACTCCAGAGCACGCAGCGCTAGCCATGAACGGCCAGACGCGACCGCCGAGAAAGTTGACCAGGATGTCGCCAATAATGCCGGACAGGATCGCAACAATGGAGCTGATGGTGGTCATGTTTCCGAAGATGGCGCCCAGCTTGAGCTTGCTTTGGGACAGGCCGCGTTGGTGGTACTCGGTAATCAACCATGCCTCGAAGACGCTGTAAAGGAGAGTGGTCGAGATGCCGCCGGCAAAACGACCGACAAAAAGAATGAAGAGGTTATCGGAAAGCATGGTCAGGCACGTCAGGATGTAGGTGACGCAGTACGTAAGGCAAGCGAGACGACGCCCGTATCGATCAGCGAGCTCGCCGGCAAAGGAGGCGGAGATGGCACCAGAAACAAATCCAGCGGCATAGAGCGCAGCAACGACCTTCTCGGGTATGTTCTTCTCGTACTTGTAAATGGCATAGATGTGAGGGCCCTACGGATATCAGCTTGGCTCCCACGCACCGCCTGTCACCAACACATTACCTGTAGCCAATCCGCCGCCATCGCAAGGGCGTAAACGGGGAAATAGTCGAGCTGGAACTGGCGGGCAGCAGCCTTGGTGTCGGTTCCCAGGAGCGAGCCTTGGTGCTCGGCCTCCCCATCAGAGCCGTAGTCCGCATCAGAAGCCTCCTGCTTGAGCTCCTCGACGACCTCGTCTTGCTGGCGCTGATACTGCCGGTACAGCAGGTAGCCGTTGCCTGCCACGAAGACGGCGAGATTTAGCGAGTAAAAGTCCATGATGTCGAAGCCTCGGCCTTGCGATGGTGCTGTGGGCAAGTCTACTGAGGGTCGCAATGGGGATGTCGAAGCCTTCTAATAGATGCGGAGAACGCGGTGGCCCAACATTCCACGAGGCGAGGTTATCAGCAGTAGTTGCGCGTGTCTTGGGGAGATCCTGGCATTCAAGGTGTCTCAGTTGCCCTGCAATGGCATCCCCAGATTTCCACTCGCGGAACTGGCGTAGGAGAAGCTGAAGACACTGAAGTGAAGGGAGACTGGAGGTGGCTGCATTTTTGAAAAACCGCCAGGTAGCGAGGGAAGGAGACACATCTGATAGCTGTCCGTTTACCTGCAACGCTCTTTCCGCCCGCCATCACGCTTGGCAGCTGCCGCCCGCGACATGGAGAATCGCACTTTCCTGGAAGCGACCATCAGACAGCCGAAGCCGGCGATTTGAGTGCAATAGAGTTGTCATAGCATGATTCGGTGGCTGCTTGCACTATTGGATCTGCGGCACAGCTGCGAACATATGCCTATGCAGCCCGCCAATACGCCTTGGTAGCTGGCCACTTCCTGCTTTCCGTTGAGGAGAGAGGGACTTGATTGATATCCAGAGTTTAACCCAAATCTCAGGGCTGGCGTTCCAAGCCATCGGACAAGGCACGGGGAGGGAGAGCCGGGGCCAATTGAGAGAAGGCTACTGCTCCCAGCCAGGGACATAGTCCAACCACACTTGGAAAAGGGAGAATAGGTAGATACTGGCTACCAAATAGCCACGCAGTACTTGACGACAGGGACTATTGAGACGGGCGACGGCACTTGCACATTCCTGTCAATTGGGGAAACACTGCGTCTGGTATGCGCATTCAGGTGCAAAAAGGAGTCCCATGGCACGCTGATTAACCCCTTCAATGTCGTCTGCTTCCCACAAAAGACATATTGAGTGCCTTCCTAGGCGAGAGATGTGACGTCTGGCTTGGTATTCGTGGGAACAGAGACGCGGGAAATGGAGGGGGCCAATGAAGTAGCTGCATCTCAGCATGCCGAAGAGCAGTGCTCATGCGTGAGAGGGTAAGCTGGAGATATCTCGTGATGTGCTGAATGCAATGTTTTCAAGACTTGGAGACCTGCACGCACAGCAGGGGCGATTACAAAATGAAATCATTCGTCCTCGTCGTCTCCGTTCGCGACGGCGTCATGATTCACCGCCCGGCACAGAATTCCCGGGGCACCGAAGCCGCGCAACGAGCACGTCAGCCAACCTTGCCGGCCATCCAAGTCAACCAACGCGGCGGGAGTGGCTCTGTCCACGCGGACGGTATGAACCCACAAACTTCCATGTTCCATGGCAAGGGACTCGGACGTCGCCGGGGCCAATCCGGAGCTTTGGAGCAGCTCCGAGCCAGAGAGGCCCCACAAAGCGGACGGGGTTCAGAAGGGGCGGTGCATCGGCTCTCGCGAGTTTATCGTATCGACGTCGTAGCGGAGAACCGCAGGCGCTGTCTCCCATGCGTGGGGTCCCTGGCCAACAGAACACCGATGAAGCCGGTCACGGAGCCCACGACAGGATGAAGAAACAAGCGGCGCCGCGGGTTACCGAGCTACGAAGGAAACGCTCGGCCGAGATGGGGGTGCTTGCGCATCACACTAACCTGCGCTCTCGGGTGTCGGTGTGATGGGTGAAAATCGAGACAACCAACGCACGGGGGGTGCTCCGCCTTGGCCGCCTGTCGGTACTGCAAAACGGCCGGCATGTTCCCGGGGGTATTGACGGGACAACACCGCTCCGGGGCGGCGGGATGTCTTGGAAAGCGGGAAGCCTCGAACCGAAGAACTCAGCTTTTGGCGCTGACAAGAGCCACAAGCGAGCTCGCGAATGAGAGGAGGAGCGAAGCGGGCTGGCTGATAGACTGGCAGGATTCCGACCGGTCGGGGGACGGAGACTGGACGGGTACGGGGATGCTGGAGTGAACCCAAAAACAGTGCGGCTGAGCTGCGGAGGCCGATCAGAGAGACGAAGGCAGTAACTTGTAAGGGCTCCCCTGTCGAGCCTATCAGATGTCTCCGGGGCTCAGCATGGCTTTTGTGCTACGCCTCACCGCGCCTGGGTTGCCAGTGTGGAACGGGAATGTATTGTCCACCGTCCTTTGGCAGGCGGCGGGAAGCCTGCGTCAATGATGTTTCGCTGTTTCTGAATCCTTGGGCAGGTACGCCAGGCCGATTGGCGTTGGCAGAACGGAGCCAACATTGACGTCGGCGAGGCTTTCTCTGCGGAATATCAGACTGCTTGTAGATGGACTGGACACTCTCGACACCCGAATATCAGCAAGCAGCGGTCATTGGCGACTAGAGCCGGCGTCTTCCTTTTGCATTGCCGACATGGAAAGCTCAGAAAGAATAGCTTGAGTTTTTCGTTGGTTTACTGCTTGTTGGCGAGGGATGCAAGGCCTGGAGGTTGGATGACATGACCGAATCCTTTGCCCCACTTTGCTAAGGCAGCTGCAAGATGCGCATCAGCATTCTGTGGAACAATTGAATTACAGGACTCCCAGTCCGGGTGTGATCTCCCCAGCTGCTGTGTGTGAATGCCTTTCTTCTCAAGTCAGAATGTTGTTGGGAGCGGACGAGACGGCATCTTCGAACGATGGCTCGAAGAGATTTCTGTGGCTCGGAAGTTGTCGCCGAGGAAGTCGCACATTTTGGCAGGTCCCTGCCTGCCGTCCCGAGCAATTATTACATGAGAAACACATGGGGAAAGAGGGGCTCACGCCCAGTGCTCAATGTGATTCGAACCTAATCTGGCGGGGTAAGCACGAATTAACGAAGAAATTGAAGGAGATGGCTGGATGGAATACGGCGTTTAGAGAAAAAATAAAGATAAGGGAAAAAAGGTACACCGCCCGACAAGCCAACTGCACCCCTCCCGAAGCCCCAATTCCCAGGACAAAGGACCGGTTCGCCCTGTCGACCGAAAGGAGACGGCGATTGTGCCACGATTTTGATCAAACATTCGAGGGAGAGAAAGAAGGGTGGACCAGTGGCCGCCCTTTTCATGAGGGATTCCATGATTGACTTTCACGGCTGCTTCAAGCTGAAGGAGTCGGGAAGCCTGATGTTGCTGGTGGCGGCGGTAGACTGCATGTGGTGGGTTTCTTCCTCATGGAATCCTGAAAAGAGGTACTTCAGCGGTACAACCAAGAAGGAGGAAAAGTCCTACAGAAAGTCCTGCATCCCAGGGCCACACAGGACCTGTGAGACCGTGCCGAGCCACGCTAGGTCTGTTTCTGTCGCGCGTATTCCACAGCAGGTCCAGCATGCAAAAGATACTTTGGCCGTCAAGGGTCCGGCGGGCTGGCATCGCAACTCGGCTCGCGGCAGGGATAGACGAAACCAAGACGGGGTCCCACGAGACGGATGCTTAATTCTTTGCTAATGGAATGATGGTCAGAATCATAAATCTTTCGCAACCTGCATAGCAAGGTCGCGTTGGGCGTCAATTGTGGCCGTATTCTTCCTGTTGCTGCGCAATGATGCGTACATGGCCCTCTTGGCCAACAAGCCAGTTCAGACAACCGAGGGCTTGCAGTAGTTTGTCGGCAGAACCGCAGCCGCTGCTGAAATTCCGCGAGGTGTCTTGAATAGGATACGGAAAGTGAGGAGGAAGGCTGCCACGGCACGCTGATAAACCAGGGTCTGCCGCATCTTCGCGGGATGGACAACACAATTCCCTGCCCTGAAATCCTTAACTCAACCTTAAGCTGGTTGCTGACAAAAGGGCGCATCCAGCGTCCCGGGAACCCCGTGTGTCGTCTCCACGAGAGTCGCAGCAGGATCTCCGCGTCCCTGTCCTTCTTTTTTGCCGTCGTTGCACTCTGTCAGCTGTCAGACATGTCCGACGAGAGGACAAGGTTGAGTTTCTAGGCATCGAAATTGTCTTGTTCCTGAATGTCATCAACGACAACTCTAAGCCTCCCTGGGGGAGAGAGAGAGTTCCTGTCTGCCCATTCGGTACTTGGTAAACTTCTTTCAACTTCTCGGGAAAGCGAGATGAGACGATTACTACGACTCAGATGCTTTGCTCGGCCCGTCGCCCAGTCGGCGCCGTATTGGGCGGTACAGGAAAGCCGTCCCTCCCCCACCACAGACGCCGTCCAATGTCTGCCGCGTCTGATACAGGCACCAAAGACGCAGTCTCAAGACAGGTGTCTGGTGTAGACAGAGGGACGCAGCAGGTTCACTGACAGGACAACGGCGATAGAGACAGGACGAAACCAACGCTGCTGTCTGACCGCTCAAGTCCTGGGTGCAATCCGGCGTGGAATCTGTCGACTGCTCGGCGCAGGGCAACAAGCAGAGTTCTACGAACGTACGAACGGTGCTTGCTGACGACCAAAGTGAGAAGGGAAGTAAGTAGGTACCTCACGCGTACATACAGCTTTCCCCACCTGCACCGGCACCGCCCATCCAACGTACGTACCTTGCGTTTGGTGGTAGGTACCCAAAGACGGGACTCTCACGCTGCAGGCTGCAGCCAGAAGGCCAGTTTTAATTGTCGCGAGCCCAATCCAGTGGCAGGCGGCGGCGGCGTCGCTCAGCCTTACACTGCCCAGAAACGAGCCGGGGTAAGTCGTGGGAGTGGTTCCTCCACCAGGCGCACCCGCTGGCTCGTTTTAGTGCCGTCAGCTGCTGGCGCCAGTCCAGCCACCCTACCAGGCCAGGCGGGAGGTGGGATGTAGGTAGGCACCTCAGGTAGGTACCTAAGGTAGAGTCCCTGCAGAAGCATGCGGTGAGATACTTGCGGTGTCCTACAGCTACCCCACCCCGCCACCTATCGCGGACACTGAGGGAGCACAGGGCAGCCAGCACCATGGACGACTCCAGCAGCTGGAGGTGCACCGGCAGCAGAGAGCACAGCGCTCACGCTGCAAAACACGACGGGACACAGAAACGAAGCACGGGAAGCAAGAAGTAGAGGCAGGCAGGGCAGGCAGAGGTAAAACAGCTCGAGAAACAATGCA